GGTGAATTTTCTCAGACTGACAACCTTGCATAGGTTTGTCTAACTCTTTCTTTATTCCTAGTATTATATATATGACTTCATTTTGGTTTCTTTTTATATTCATAAACAGCTCAAGAATATATAAACATGGATGGGTTAGTATTTAGATTCTTGAATAAAGGTTTACATGTCGTAGTTGGATGAGCATGACGCATTGTTCTTATTATCCTTTTTTGAGATAGAAATGCCCCTACAAAGTGACAAGATGACCCCTAAAAGATCACGCCATATTGAAGAGTTGACTGAACTATTTCCAAATATAATAGTCCCAAGATGCCTGTTGATACAATTGTTTTTTTCTATTAAGGCTGAGGTCATTTTCAAGACTATATCATTTGATTTGCGGAGGTACAGGCGTCTTCAATGTCACTCAGAAACGCTTTAAACAATAGTGGCCCCAAGAATGAACCCTGTGGAACTCATGTATTTATTATTCTTGAATCTGATTTCTCATTATTCACTACTGTCGTCTGTGTTCTGTTTGGCAAGTAGGTATGATGTTACCCATTGAAGCGGAACTCCCCTAACATGCCGAACACGTAAAACAATTCTAACTTTTATGTCACTCAACAACAAACTTAACGTATACTCACCAAATTTAATAAAAAGTAGTAAAATATATATAGGGACTAAGTAATTGATAATATCTTCTCACGATATGGACTGTTCTGNTATATCAAGGTTACGTACAACGCCATCTGCCTGTGAATACATCAAGCAATAATGTCTATATATCAAGGTTACGTACAACGCCATCTGCCTGTGAATACATCAAGCAATAATGTCTATATATCAAGGTTACGTACAACGCCATCTGCCTGTGAATACATCAAGCAATAATGTCTATATATCAAGGTTACGTACAACGCCATCTGCCTGTGAATACATCAAGCAATAATGTCTATATATCAAGGTTACGTACAACGCCATCTGCCTGTGAATACATCAAGCAATAATGTCTATATATCAAGGTTACGTACAACGCCATCTGCCTGTGAATACATCAAGCAATAATGTCTATATATCAAGGTTACGTACAACGCCATCTGCCTGTGAATACATCAAGCAATAATGTCTATATATCAAGGTTACGTACAACGCCATCTGCCTGTGAATACATCAAGCAATAATGTCTATATATCAAGGTTACGTACAACGCCATCTGCCTGTGAATACATCAAGCAATAATGTCTATATATCAAGGTTACGTACAACGCCATCTGCCTGTGAATACATCAAGCAATAATGTCTATATATCAAGGTTACGTACAACGCCATCTGCCTGTGAATACATCAAGCAATAATGTCTATATATCAAGGTTACGTACAACGCCATCTGCCTGTGAATACATCAAGCAATAATGTCTATATATCAAGGTTACGTACAACGCCATCTGCCTGTGAATACATCAAGCAATAATGTCTATATATCAAGGTTACGTACAACGCCATCTGCCTGTGAATACATCAAGCAATAATGTCTATATATCAAGGTTACGTACAACGCCATCTGCCTGTGAATACATCAAGCAATAATGTCTATATATCAAGGTTACGTACAACGCCATCTGCCTGTGAATACATCAAGCAATAATGTCTATATATCAAGGTTACGTACAACGCCATCTGCCTGTGAATACATCAAGCAATAATGTCTATATATCAAGGTTACGTACAACGCCATCTGCCTGTGAATACATCAAGCAATAATGTCTATATATCAAGGTTACGTACAACGCCATCTGCCTGTGAATACATCAAGCAATAATGTCTATATATCAAGGTTACGTACAACGCCATCTGCCTGTGAATACATCAAGCAATAATGTCTATATATCAAGGTTACGTACAACGCCATCTGCCTGTGAATACATCAAGCAATAATGTCTATATATCAAGGTTACGTACAACGCCATCTGCCTGTGAATACATCAAGCAATAATGTCTATATATCAAGGTTACGTACAACGCCATCTGCCTGTGAATACATCAAGCAATAATGTCTATATATCAAGGTTACGTACAACGCCATCTGCCTGTGAATACATCAAGCAATAATGTCTATATATCAAGGTTACGTACAACGCCATCTGCCTGTGAATACATCAAGCAATAATGTCTATATATCAAGGTTACGTACAACGCCATCTGCCTGTGAATACATCAAGCAATAATGTCTATATATCAAGGTTACGTACAACGCCATCTGCCTGTGAATACATCAAGCAATAATGTCTATATATCAAGGTTACGTACAACGCCATCTGCCTGTGAATACATCAAGCAATAATGTCTATATATCAAGGTTACGTACAACGCCATCTGCCTGTGAATACATCAAGCAATAATGTCTATATATCAAGGTTACGTACAACGCCATCTGCCTGTGAATACATCAAGCAATAATGTCTATATATCAAGGTTACGTACAACGCCATCTGCCTGTGAATACATCAAGCAATAATGTCTATATATCAAGGTTACGTACAACGCCATCTGCCTGTGAATACATCAAGCAATAATGTCTATATATCAAGGTTACGTACAACGCCATCTGCCTGTGAATACATCAAGCAATAATGTCTATATATCAAGGTTACGTACAACGCCATCTGCCTGTGAATACATCAAGCAATAATGTCTATATATCAAGGTTACGTACAACGCCATCTGCCTGTGAATACATCAAGCAATAATGTCTATATATCAAGGTTACGTACAACGCCATCTGCCTGTGAATACATCAAGCAATAATGTCTATATATCAAGGTTACGTACAACGCCATCTGCCTGTGAATACATCAAGCAATAATGTCTATATATCAAGGTTACGTACAACGCCATCTGCCTGTGAATACATCAAGCAATAATGTCTATATATCAAGGTTACGTACAACGCCATCTGCCTGTGAATACATCAAGCAATAATGTCTATATATCAAGGTTACGTACAACGCCATCTGCCTGTGAATACATCAAGCAATAATGTCTATATATCAAGGTTACGTACAACGCCATCTGCCTGTGAATACATCAAGCAATAATGTCTATATATCAAGGTTACGTACAACGCCATCTGCCTGTGAATACATCAAGCAATAATGTCTATATATCAAGGTTACGTACAACGCCATCTGCCTGTGAATACATCAAGCAATAATGTCTATATATCAAGGTTACGTACAACGCCATCTGCCTGTGAATGGATCAAGCAATAATGTCTATATACAAAGGTTACGTAGAGCGCCATCTGCCCGCGAATAGATCAAGCGATACTGTCGATAATTCTGTCAAATACAGATCCCGAGCTTGAGAGTTACAAATATACATACAGGTGAAGCTAATAAAAGCATGTTAAAAAACACTTGTTGGACAGTAAAGCGAAGTTTGGATGGCTTACAGAAAACTTATACAAGTGGTAAGAAATACCAAAAACCCAGAGTAACTAATTTATGTGAAAAATTCCAGTATCGAATTCCAGTATCATGTGTGAACAAACTATTTAATAATATCTATTTGAATCTCAATAATCAGCAAATCTCAATTGGATCATTATGCGATCTCTTCATAAATTGCTAATCAACCATGAATTACTTCTAAGAAAATTGTAACAAACAGAAGGTAGGGGAGTAATAAATGTGTATTAACCGCTAATGAAGGGTTAGATTATCTAATTGTTGTCTTCAGTCAAAGGTATTCAGAATATATTGAAACCGCTTGCAAGATAAATACAGAGATGACATCGTTCTTATATGAATGAGCCTGTCGCTTCATCTTCATTAATATTTGTGATTTATATTCCAGCAATAATTTACTTTATGGGAATCAATTGAATAAAAAATACTCAAATTCGTGTTGACATCGGTAATAAAGATTCGATTTATGTACTTACTTGCTAGCTTTTCTGCTCCACGCTGACAAAAATCTGGAGGATATGTAAAATATCAAAGGTAACAGTGACAGAATAAATCTAAATTCCTTGTGTGGCAATAAACTGAAAATGGAACAAATACAATTAACTTCATCACCCATCAACCGCTATTGAAAATTCATGCAATGAAATATGCTTTACTGTTCAAAAATGTACACATTTGAATGACAGTCTCTTAAATGTCAACCATTAACAAAGTTTTTAAACAAAAACATTAAACTGGTAAAGTTAGTGAAAGAACCGCACAAAATACCTTAAAAAAATACAAAATATAATTCTTTTTAATGAAATTTGATTCAATTATTCAATTCGAGGGCGATACAACAATTACAGGGGTCATGAAATTTTTCGATATAATTTTTATAGTATGATTCGTTTTTAGCCTCAGAACTCAGAACAGGCCTTAGTTTCCACTATTACTTCTTCATCGGCACTGAATTTTCCAGCGAGCATTTTCTTGAAGCCTGAGAACAGGAAAAAGTCGCCGGTGGCCAGATCTGGAGAATAAGGTGGATGTGGAAGCATTGACTTGTGACACGGTGCATTGTTTTGATGAAACAGCACCTTCATTTTCTTCAAACGCTCCAATAACGCTATGTTATAGTCCTTGTTGATAGTTTTTCCCTTTTCAAGATAGTCGATATACCACGCACATCCCAAAATACTGATACCTTAACCTTACCAGCCGACCATTGCATCTTTGCACGCTTTGGAGTTGAAGAATTCCACTCAGATGACGGTTGTTTTGATTCTGGTGTGGAATGATGAAGCCATGTTTCATCCGTTGTCTCATATCAACGCATAAATTCGGGCTTTTTATGGTGGAACAGTTTCAAATACTGCTCAGAATCATCAATTCATTGTTGTTGTTGATCGATTGTGAGCTCGCATGGCACTCACTTAGAACAGAGCTTTCACATACCCAAATATTCATCCAACACGTTCCTTTGATTTCTATAAAGCCTCAGCTATCTCGATCAACTTCACTCTGCGGTCATCCAAAATTATTTTGTCGGTAACAGCCTCTTGTGGCGTCCACTACGTGCATCGTCCTCGGTGTTCATTTCTCATCGTTTAAACACAGCAAACCACTTTTCAACGGTTGATTTTCCTGGTGCAAAGTCCGAATAATGTTTAACAAGCCAAGCCTTGGCTTCAACAGTATTTTTTTCGCCAAAAAGCAACGCTTTATCAACAGGAAAATTATTTTCATTCATTTTTTTCAAACTAACAAATATTTATGTATCTCTCCTTGATACAGTCTTTGAAAATGGTCTATCCTACAAACTAATAGTCTGACAGCTGTGAAATTTGTACACGTATCTTTTGAAGGTTAGGGTTGACTGAAAATCATATGGGTTTAATTTGTTATCTATCTTGTGAATCATTTTTAAATTCAAATTTAATGCTTCTTTTATATTGTTTACTCTATTTGCACACTAATTTGTACTAACCGCTTATAACTTGTCACAAATGTATATTCATAACGTAATCAAATAAAAATCTATCTATCTATCTATTTTATAATCATTTCGAATGAACAGAATTACCTGTAGATTGTCAATGCAAAAATAATAGTTCCTAACATGGCTAATTCGTTTTGATGAACTCTTCTGTTTTTCAGAATCACAAAGGATGCTGTTAGGAATGGTAGTAACTGTATTCCAAGAATTGCAGGAATTCCACTCGACAAATACCAGTGCCATGGCTGCGTACCATAAAAAGATCCAATGTCCTCAATCAAATTGAACTTCAGAAACTCATATACCGTTACAATGAACGTTCCGTGAGCTAAGCTATCAAGAAGAATGGAGAGAGATAATACAATTAACCTACAAAAAAAAATAAGAATAATTACTTTCATTCAGTAAATATGAAAATTTACTTTGTTGATTATATATAAAGATAACAGAGGAGGTTTGGTGAGTAAATCAATTCAAAAACCGAAAAATGGCATTATAGTTTTTAAATCATATTTCTGCTATTCATGGGTTACATTATTCAATAAACAAAAATCAACCATTAAATTCAAGATGGCGAATGACACAACGGGTTTGATACACCAAAAACTGAATTTAGACTGCTAGTGACCCCCCAGAAAATTCCGAAAGAAATTACCCAGTAAAAATTTTTGCGTTGTCAAATCCCAATTCGACTGGGCTATTAGGAAAATGTACAATCTAACGAACTTCATACTGGGCTATCAAATTTTATGATAGATAATAGTTCATTCATATAATTCTATACGTATTGAAATATGATAGATGAATGAAATATAAGAAGTTGAATTTTCATGATGTTCAATGAGATATTTAGACCAGTTTTGCACATACAGTTCAACACTTGCACACACGCCAACATACCTACACACACGCCCTTCCACCTGCACGTACGCCCACCTACCTGCATGTACCACCACAAACCTGTATACTTTGAATTGATGACTCATCGCGTAATGACTTTCTGTTCAAACAAAAAATGTATGGAGAGCCTTCCAAAATGAAAAAATAAATAAATAAAAAGTGTCCACGTTATTAGATATAATAAGGCTAATCATTTCTAAATTTAGATCATACATTCAAAATCTGTTTTTCTGTTAACCAGCTGTCGCCGCCTAAGAACGACAACTCTCGGAAGCCTAAACTCGTGCGAGCTGAGGTTTAACAAGGTCCTACATTTTAACGTGCGACTCTTAGCACGGGTTGAATGATAGGAAGTGAAAATCAATCGTTGGGATTTGGGGCTCGAAACAACCCCTTCACATAGCAGTCGATTGAGTGGAGCAAACCACCTACGCCAACCCAACTGGCTACCATCATCCATTGAAAATACAAAAACAGAAACAGTTCTGGAATGGGAAACGTGTTTTTTTGGGTTCACTATTATCACTTTGATGTGTTTGTGGTTAATAGAGATCAGTATTTATGTGTTAATCAAAATATTCCTCTTGAAATGTAACTTTCATCTAACTCTTGATAAATTTACAAATTTACCTATTCCTTTTCCAGGCCACGGAAAGTATGAAAGAGCAATTGTACTCAAAGCACATTCTAAACTATTGATTAAGGTTCTTGATCCAGTATAAAACCAAAACCAAGAAGTTCCTATGCAAAAAATTGCCCATTTTTTTGTACCCGACCATTTATAAAAACATAAATCAGAATAGGCACTCAAAATAGCTTGTAGAATACGAGGACCATAAACCTACAAAAAATAGAGTTTTAAGGTTATTGGTGGAAAGCAAGTCAATTTGCCTTCCATACATAATATAAATTAGTTCACTACATAAAACTTGAGTAGGTCACAGATTTGTTAAACAAAATAATAAATTTCAAATTGTGTAGCTTTGGGTAGTTTCAAAGTTTGAAATATTTTCACTTATAATTATAATGGGAGTAACTTCTAGAAGTGCTTGGCCAATTAGGATCAAGTTCAAGTTCTTATTATTATCAATAACTTCATCAGAATGTTTTTCTGTTATATTGTTCTACACATCCTTTCAACAATATTAGTTCCTAGGGAGGCAAGTAATTTTATTTCTCAGAGCGAGAAGTATAAGTATTCTTCCTAATGTGAGAGAGGAAAGTGTGTAGTTTCTTTATGGGTAGAAGGAAAAAATACAGCGATAGGAGCTTCCACAAATTTCAAAAAAGACAGTAGGTAATAACAAATGAAAAATATGAATTCTTAGGACTTGGAACTCAAGACTTATGACTTGAGGCTGCTGTATGAATCCAGTCTGAAAATATTTTGCATAAGCAAACAGTTTTTTAAATGGTTAAATTTCAATTTGATGAATGAAATATAACTAAAGGGAGAATGTTTCGGAAATTATAAATTCACAAATATTCTTTAAAAAAAACAATATTGTTTCTTCAATGTACTGATTGAGATAAAAATAGTTTTCAACATATTTTTCAAGGAGACTGAAATTATATTTAGATATAAACATAGTCTATACATGAAACTGTCTGTGATTTCCGGGTTTTAAGACATCTTTTTTTTTGAAATTTCTTCCTGACATTTTATCCTCCCTGGTGGCAGTGGCATCTACAGAGGTATGTGTTATCCCTTCCAAGGTCGGAGGGACACTTGGAAGCAGCCACCGACCACTCGAGCCTGCGAAACATTAGGAAAAAATTTCAACTGATGGCATTAAAACCTGAAGCCATACACAGATATGTCTATTACTATATATTCTATATAATACAAGAAATAACAGTGATAAAGATTTATCTTACCAAAATATTGGATGTATCCAATCCAGTAATTTGGAGAATTTTATATAAACCAGCAATTATTAAAGGTGGAATGTAACTTCTTATCCCCTTTGTCCATTCCCAAGTCAAATATCCGTATCGAAATACAAGGTTATGAGCAACCTCTAAAGACTGCCAATACTCATCAGGAACAAAAAATGTTTGTACTAAAAATACTGAAGCAACTCTAATAACCAAAAAAATTATAAATACTCCTAAATTTTTCATAATTGCCCTAGTTTGTAAGTTTGTTACAAAAAATTAAACATACTAATAGATGTTTCAAATTGAATCACTGAAAATTAAGCATAACAGGTACCATTCAAAGGTATTAATAGCACGGAGACCCCAGATGTATAACGCGGGCTCGTTCAAATTTTAAACACGAAAATTTAAGGTTATATTCATAAAACACAAAACTCAGAACCTCAGAACCCCATGTCTGGTACTTTCCTCAGTTCAATTTGTTCGTCCAACAGCTCTCAACGGTCAAACCTGTTTCATAACTGAATGTGGTAGATAGTCATTGCTGAATCCAGCATTTTTCTGACAAATCAGCCGATTCCTATAAAAAATAATGAATTTCATATTTTTTTTTTTCAAATTTGGTGATATTCATCCCAATTTATTCCTAAACATTATAGAATATTGAAATCGATATTCTGTTGTAGATTTTGAATGCATTTCTGGTACAGCTGCTTATAAAATTGAAACAATTTAAAATGCGATTATGTGCAGTGCAGGGCGGTGTTTTCCATGTTTTCGTTCAGGATGCATCCATTCTCTATTTTGCAATTTAATAGTAATGGCACAGATGTAATGGGCCAATGTTTTGATACTGCGATTTCGGAGCGGTACTTCGTAAGAACCATTTAATATATTTTCCAAAAATAACCACATCTCTTCCGTTACTAACCAGAAAAATATATAATTGTTGATTACTTTTGAAACAAGACGGTTGTGTCAATTGTCAAATGTGTTATCAATAAGTCAAACTAAACTGTTTTCGAAATTGACCGTTTCTTTTTACAAGTTACTTTTGAGTTCTGATGAAAATCACAGAGGACCCTTGATACAAATATTGAAGAATTTCATGAAATGGCGATGAATTTCTTCAGTATTCTTCAATCCAATTTGTTATCATCCACATATTCGATGGAACAAATGAATAGGTTATTGAAAAAAGGGGCCCGAGTCATTTTCTGACATTTTGACTTGATATAGTTTTGTGTTCTCTAAGGGTAGAAGGAACTTGGGTCCACGACATTTTTTTAAATGGTAATGATGGAATGCTATGAGCATCATATGATACCAGTTATCTAGGTATGTAAAATATAACATTAGTTTTTTACTGACCAATTGAAAACACTATTTAGAGTTTTCCTCAAATCAACAAAAAAGTGACCGAGGTACCCTTTCACGATAAATTGTTCAAATATTCCAAATCCAAACTCATCATTTGCCAATTGTCACTTTCACCACAACAAAATTGTCGGTTAGTATTTTGACGTTTGGTTTACCAGTTTTCAGGAAACCGTGTTCCATATCTAACCGATTTTAGAAACACTCAGTTTAACTTCATTCTACTGAAACAGATTGCTACCCAAAAGACATTATAATCTGCTTTTTTTCATTGACTGTCTCTAGACGCCTTTTAAAAAATCAACATGTGTCAACAGTCAAACTCAAGGAAAGACGTTCAATAATTTCATGTACACTGGGAAAAGCAGATTTCATTTACTTTTCTGAATTTTGATGATCCTGTTTCATATAACTTAATTCTTTATCCTAGTTCCATTGACAATCCTCTAAATAAATATTGCAAATATTGTATTTCAATTTATAGACTATAGGTAGACTTATGAACTGAATGACAAATGGATTACGTCACCAGTAGACAAAAATGGTGTTGACGGTGGTAGGGCGTTGAAAAATATTTTTTTTAAGTCGAGGTGTTTTTTGATTTGATCGATTTTCAAAAATTAACTTGCGACGATTTTCATTCGAAACAATAAGATAATTTGAATTAGATAGGTGAGTTACAATCAATTATTATTACGGGATAACGGTATCCTTCCTTCTTGCTTTTTAGATTTGTGGCATCGTTTCTTGATAATAATCCAATAGTCTTTTAATTTTCAGCTTTCACTGTTGTAGTAAAATCTCCCTTTCACGGCATCGTCAATTTCGATAAGTTTTTTTTTTGTTATTCTGTCAGGAGATGTTGAGATTCAACTCAAAACCATTGATTTTCTCCAAGTAAAAGGAACGCATGTGTAGTGCCCTTTAAATGTATTTTTTTTCATTTTATGAATCATTTCATTTTGCCAATGACCATCTAGAGAAAATATGGATATAATTTTAGATAAACCAAAACCAAGTATGTCTGATAGAAAAGCAGAACTGGAACGTAAAAAAGCCAAACTACAAGCTTTAAGGGAACAAAAGGACCGGAGGAGGCGCGAGAAAGAGTTGAAAGATGTTGAAGAGGCTACCACCCGTACGATATTGGGAGGAGGTGGCGATAGAAAAGAGCTGGACGATTTACTTCGAGAAGTTGGTGTGGCCCCTGTATCAGAAGTTTTTTCTAGTATTTCTAGTGCGAATTCCCTCACTCCCGAACAAAGTAGAAATCATACGCCTGACACCTCACTTCAGCCAAATAGCTTACCAAATAAGTAAGGACAGATAACATTTTTTTTTTACCAACTCAACACATTTTTTATTTGCAGTGTTATTGCGGTAAGAAAAAAAATCCCCCAACTCAGTGTCGTTCCTGTTCAAACCACAAATATTCCACCGAAAGAAGTGGTAGTCTACACCAAGCAAACCCAAACTACAACTACAGGACATGATGTTCGGGACGGTAAGTTTATTTCAGTTTTATTGTTCGAGTATATTTTGATCTGCCTAAGCTATTATTGGTTCTTAGTTTGAAACTGTTTTCATTTGATGATATTCAATGATGACACTGTTTGCAAGGAAAGCATTTTATTCAAAGTTAGCGGTGTAGAATCTTTCTAATTGGTGTTATTAGTTTATCAAGTAAACCAAAGAGAAATACTGAATAACATTGTTGGGCCAAAGGGTTTTTTTCATATTTCAATGAAATTGTGCAGGTTTGAATGAAATGGAATAAATATCATGATGTGTCTAGGTTACTTGGTTTATTTAGTTGTGGTGAAATCTGTAGTTATTCAATGCCTATTTTTACAAAGTAATTAACAAATTCACACATATGTACTATATTTATAAGCTAGATGTGAGGAAAAAATATAAAAAAGGCAAAAATAAGCCAATCAATTACAATCTTTTCACAGTCTTTTTAAATGGTTCCAAAGAAGTTTTTTTGAAAAGTTACATTGTACCTATGTGTTTGCAAGTCTCAAAATTCTACCTATAGAATCATTCTGGCCATAGTTGGGATGACGAAAGGTTACTTTGAAGATCTCTGTATTTCTTGTTCTCTTCCGATTCACATCTATGGAATTAATGCTACCATTGATTATTTTGTGAATTAGTGTAAGATCTGTTTCTAATCTTCTATGAGCCAGAGTATTCAAGTAAAGTTATAATTATAACCACTAATATAATATCCCAGTTTTGTATGCAGAGTAACTTAAAAACTTGTTTTGAACACTTTCAAGCATATCAATATCCACGTTATATGAGGGGCACATAATTGTGTAGTTGTATTCGATTATTGATCTAACTCCAGGAAGAGTGATAATTTCTCTTCAGATCTAAGAGTGAAACGCAACATTTTTAGTGCTCTAGAAGTAACATTTGCAATATGGAGTTTGAATGAAATTTTTTATTCAAGAGTGGTTCCTAAATCTTTGATTGTATTTGTTGTTTCCAGTTCCAATTGCTTAATTTTATAGGGACTATTTATGGGATTTCTGTTTCCGAAAAAAGTAAATTTATGGCATTTGTCTATATTCATTTGCAATAAGTTTAAATCACACCAGCCTACAAAGTCAGTTGAATCGTAATGTAATAATTCAGTATCAGATGAGTCATGAATAACTTTTAATATCTTCAGATTATTAATCAGCAAAAAAAAGAAATTAACTATAGAGAATAACATCATTCAAGTCAAAGTCATTTACAAATAGGTTGAAAAGTAATGGTCCATATGAGATCCCTGTGGTACACCATTAGGAACTGCAATTGAGGAAGTAATATGTAAAAATGTTTGTTTTTTTCTGAAATGAATGTTCAAAATGGCCTTCATTTTCCTGAATACCAATTCGGCACCGTTTCAAAAGGAAAAACCGGATTTTGAGGAAGATCATAGCCTCCTGACGAAATCGATTTGCACTTTCAATGATTGTCTGCCTCAGTTGTGGTTCGCCGATTATTTCTACAGGATACACGCCCTCTTTCATAAAACTCCAGAGGCAGAAATCAATGTGTTAAGATCTGGACTTCTGGCTGGCCAATCCAACGTCCAGGGTATAGCCCGAAAATATATTCTCTAACTTTGTTATTGAAATGCGCTGGAGCTCCATCTTGTATATTATACTACATATTTTGCTTCATTCCTAAATTTACCTCTTTCAAGTATTCTGTTGAATCATTTTGTAAGAACTACAAGCGATTTGGACCACTTGAATCATTTGGAAGAAATACTGGTCCTATTAAATTATTATTCACAGTGCTTGCCTAAACGTTGACTTTGAAAGTCTTTTGGTGAAGAGTCATTTTTTTTTTGCATGAGAGTTTTCTTTGGCCCATATGTGTACGTTACAGTGATTCGTAATGCTACTTCTATTTATCTGTATGTATTTATCATAATGTTACTATTTATCCATAGAAACTACAAGTGTTGAACAGCCAACTGAAGTATTTTTAAAGAATAATGAAAAACAGTCCACATCTCTATGGAAACTGGCTTTTTGAAAAAGTGATACTTAAAAAAAATTTGTCTTTGACCAATGGTGTCACAATATTGATTTAATTCTGAAATTTTTTGGACTGGTTTTATATGAAAAAGATTAACAAGTCATGGATCCATTTTCATTACAAAATGTTGAACAGTTCATGAAGTATTTGAAAAAATCTATTTCCATTCTGTACCTTACAAGGGCTGTATTTTTTTGTGTGCACATTTGCATTGAATAAAGTTATATCCAGTCGAGTTATTTTTGACCCCAGAATATGCTGTTTAATTTATGATCTACCTTTTTGTTACACCATGTATAACTATATCACTGTTTCACTCCTTGATATAGATGCAAATTGATTAGAACTGTTTGAACTAACTTTGATATTGTTATATGTGTCTATACAAACGGTCTATGAGGCCCAAACTAAAAGAGGTCATTTCTGGTGAAAAATTTCATCGAACGTGGGGTCCTATTCCTCACTTTTTCTGAGCAATTATTTTTGTGTTTTTCACAGAGTTATTAAACAGTGAAGTTCGAGATGTACTGAGTTGAACCTCAAACCACTAAGCAGCCACTGTTCGTTGCGTATTTCTGTCTTTAAATAAAAACTTGAGGAAGAAAAATATAAAATGCATAATATAATTTCAGAAACATATTTACAATACTTGTATATGTAGTGACCATAAACCTACAAAAANAGTTTTACTTCAATAAATTAAAGTTTTTTCCGTCACTTTACATCGATAAGTAATAAAACTATCGAAAATTTTAAATAACCATCTCGACTCGTTTGTAGTTGGTTCGGAGTATTTTTAGAGGAACAACTCCTCAGAAGGGCAGCTCCTTCAACAAAAGCCTTAGGGTTTACTCTGATTTTTAGAGCAAATATTGAAACGTTAATACCTGAAAATTCAAAAGCATAGTTTTATTATTCCAATTCTTAGAAATTAGTGATGAATTGTTGTATTCTAAATGCTAACAAGGATCTTCATGTTCTTCTTCCCCACTTAAAGGCTACATGGAGGACTGGTGGAGGCCAAGGAAAGGTATGGTGTGCACGACTGATTATTTGATCATATTAAATGTTTTATAGATGTGTAACAAATGTCAAGCCTGCACTCTGCACTCAAAACTATAAAAGCACTTATCCAGAAGAAGATACTTAATAGTTGTTTACTGAATGGTCAATTTTCCCACTTGATATATTGAATCATTAGATTTTCATTCCAATGTAAGGCCCAATATCTTTTGGAAGAGACAAGAAACAGCTTATATTCTCAAGAAGTCATTCACAGCTATTAATAATTTGGTAAACAATTAACTGAAGAAAAATGGGGTTTGGTTTTTGCAAGTTTCTCAAAAACTAGTTAACATTTTTCAAAATTGAAAAAAGATTAAAAAAGAAAGGAAATTTACCAATCTTAAAAAATTAAGATGGTTCAGATCCGGTTAGCGTGGAGGCCAACAGATTTTTCCATCTTCTCTGTTAAGTATTTGTCAAGAATGTTCTTTAGGTTTTTCGCTATATTTCTTTGTTACAAAAAATGAGTTTTTTTTTTTGTAAATCGCAAAAATTAATATTAGGTACTCGGAAAGAGTGAGGAATCAGACCCTATGTGATATGGATTTTTTTGTATCAGAAATGACTTTGTCTATCAGCTCCTTTAGTTCGGATCTTGACTTACGAGACACACTATATATTTATTTATATCAGTGTAGAAAAGGGCGTAAAGAAGGAACTGATGTGACAATAAACCATAAAAACTATTATAGTTTCATTCATTCTTTATCAAATGTTCTTCATAGTCACTTAGTCCATTTATTTTCAACATCAGGTCCGTAAAACTGGTCATACTTTATTGGATATTGCTTTCTTTGGCCGATCATGGTAGTACGCTTTTTTACACTTTCCTTCACTCGCTTGACAAATGTTTTAAAAACTGATTTTGTTTTTTTCACTTTTGCACAAGATTATTTCGGATATTGGAAAAAGTCGTGTGAGTATTTTGTAGACAAACGGATTTTATTTCATTTTTCAAGCTCTCAGTAGATGTTATTAGTTTGCTTCATTTGTTTTTGGTTGAGTGTGGAAAAAATAATAAAATGATTGGCTTCACTTCTGTAGACAAGTTTAGCACTTTTTCTTTATCTTGTTACTCCACTACAAATATTTATTTTCTGTGTGTTCTTCAAAACAATGATGGGAAAGAGAGAGGGTCGATTCTATCATGATTGGATCAATTAATCTTTGTATGTCTTATGTTTTCGAATGAAAATTAGACAAAACTGCATCGAATGTTGTTTCATGTCTTGTGGAAGGCTCATTCCTGTTATTATTTATTTGTAGTTCATCATTCAAGTCAAAGTCATTTACAAATAGGTTGAAAAGTAATGGTCCATATGAGATCCCTGTGGTACACCATTAGGAACTGCAATTGAGGAAGATATTGAGTTATATATTGGACATATTTCGATCCACTTCAGAATGTTTTCCTGAATACCCAAAGCGGAAAAGTTGAGGTTTTATATTTTTTCAGAGGAACATAGTAGTAGTCCAGAGCTATATAGAGAACATTGTAAAAATGTGTAACTGTAATATTCAAATCCTCATTATCAGTGTTTCCAAATTCCAGTCAACGCTCCTCAAAAAATTATATGTATTTTGAAAGATTGGGTCAAGTGGATTTTGAACAGACATTAATGAATGATGAGAATATTTAATCCAAGTAAACACTTCTTGAATTTGTAATATTATTAATTTGATATGAATTATGTTAAAGATAGGCAGGATATAAGTAGATTTCAAATAACTTTCTTATTTATATATTTATTTGGTGGCTCAAATTTATGCTTTTGAAAACGTTTCAATAATTACTGTAGGACCGTTCTCCTGCATTTACTTAGCTGATATACAGGGTATAACAAAAAGGTAGGTCATAAATTGAACCACATATTCTGGGGTCAAAAATATAGTTTACNGTTGCAAAGTAAGTCATCACTACTCATGGTAATTTTCAAATTTCGATTCTTATCAATACTAACGACAGTAGCTTGTACATTAAAATAAAATTTACAGTGCAGGGGTGCTATTTTCGAGTCACCCGAAGTTCTTCAGTCGGTCTTACGAACTATTCCTTTAAAATTCGAGTAACAGTCGAATCGTATATCTGCGAATGTTTGGAAAAAATGATTTATTTGAAGTCGTTCGCGTTGTGAGTGATTCGAAAATACTCGCCCAGGAATGTTATAAATTTTCTGTTTAGCTGTTATTTATACAAATCGAACAGTCAAACTAACTATACTATGAATGGCTTCATACAGAATTTGACTAATAACTCTTAAATGTTTGAACAATTTCACAAATTTTAACCAATTCTGCCACTAGTCTCTTCCAAGATTAGTCGTTGATAAATAACTAAATTAAAACTTGTGCCTCAATTTCATTCTCCCTCAAATCTCTTTGAAGTTTTTGCCCTATTCTGGTTGTTGCTTTTGTACATAGGTTGCATTTTCGGTTTAGTAATTAATTCAGCTTTTCTGTATAGATAGTCTTTTTTTCCTGTTTATATTATTTCCAGAATCGTTGTGAAGAGGGCAAACAAATAAATAAAATCGTACCCTATTGTCTGAGGTATCAGTTTTGTATAAATCAAAAATCAATTTTTGATTAATTATTTGTAAAATAAAGTCCCATTGATATATGAAATGAAAAAAAAAGCTTGGGAAAAACTGTCGAAATATGTTTAGATAATTCTTAGATGTTTCTTTCATTTACAAACCGGGAAAACCCCATCTGAAATGACGACTTTTCCTAGGAACATTGAATTACTACACATAAATCACTTTTCTTCCATTTGTTCATCAAATATTAAACTACAAAAATCACTCCAAATTTCAAACTGACGGGTTTTGAATGAAACACATTGTGTTTTGAACAACGCGACGATATGAAAGTCGCTGATAATAATCAGTCACATAACATTGTCAACCACCTTCAAACAAACGTCAGAACATAATTGCCAAAGTTAATATTTTTAACAAAATTTCATTGTATTTCAATAAAAAATACAAAAACAGTGATATTGCAAAACGATATAACATTCACTTGATACTGAGAAATAAAATAATTGAAAATTGCGTTGAAAAATATTTATCTTTCGTTTTTACAAGTGTGCCATTAACAAACTATTCTTTTTCTGCTTATATCAACATACGAAAGTTGATCTATTGAGGGATTTTTGTGTAATTTCTGAAGAAAAGAGAAGTTGGATTCAGTTTCGAATTATCTTGTTTTTTCTTCGAAAGTCGAGGGATTGTTAATAACACCACTTTTTGTGTAGAAGATTTAGAGATGTAGGCATACCATTGCAAAGCTCCCTATATCCATTTTGGTCAATAACTTAGACTCAGTGGATTCTAATATTTTCAGTACATATTCAAACTCCATAATTGAAACTGCTTTTCTTGAAAGTACCCGTTTACATAGATACATTGCACACACATTTCAGTTGAATGTGATATATATCAATCAAATTTGTTATATACTATAAATTAACTGACTGATATAACTGGGTATTTCGTCAGCTGTTATTTTCAGAGAATAGTCCTAGAACTAGTCATACAGCTTGTTTTTCAGTCGCATTTTAAATTGATGAAACTAAGAACCTTGTTGTTTATAGACTTGGAAACATTCTGTATGAAATCGCCATTTTTGAACGATACTTTTGATTTTAATACACTATTTTTGTCCTTTTCTCCCAGCACATGCAACCGATTATTACGGTAAGTTCAGATTTTTTTTATCTGCTTAGGCATCGCCATTTCCATTTTTACCTCCTCAAATTGAACATGTACATCTAAGTGACTCCATCCTTTTGTTTCAAGACTAGGTAGTGTTAGTTTTGTTATCGTCTTGTCTACACCATTGTAGGAAAAGAGGGGTTAGCCATATCATCTTTAGCTTTTGAATACACTATATTTTCTGTTTCGTTTGGGAAGAGGCGCACATGTACCTACTAACAGCTTATTTGTACAAAATTGCTTTTTAGAATGTTGAAACCAGGTTACTCGCGTTTTAATTTCAACATTATTGTTTTTGATCGTGAGTTGTATGAATTATGTGAATAAAAACCGCTAAACAGTTATCGCTTTGTAATAGCATGAATAACACACTAACAACTACTTGAAATAAACGATTTACAGAATCAAGTTAGCCCTCATACTTTGTTACACCAATGTGTTCAAGGTGAAGTCTAGATTTTTCATTCGATTCTACAATTTTGTTGAGGTAAACTTTCGAAGGGGAATAGAGATACCTTGTATGGGACATTGAATTTTCGGATTTTAACTAGTTTTCATTACGAGCAGTAATCCATATTGGTGACAAATTTTAGCCATCAAAAATGTAGAATTTGTTTTGTCTGATATTCTTCTCCTAATATTTGATTATTCTTTCCCTATCAAGACGAGTACAATCTTAACCCTGGTTTAGAATGGGAGGATGAGTTTACAGGTAGGTTGTGCTTCAAGCTATTTTTATATCTTTATAAATTGGTCACGTTGCCCTTTAAACATTTTGGTTATCTTGGCGCTAATAACATAAGCTTTTTTTTCTAATATGCTCGTTATATCGTTATCAATTTTATTTTCCTCATTAATGTGAGAATGATATTCATACCTACACTTTGTAGTGATGTGGCTATTCACTATGTGTGTCAATAAAATAATAAATAGTTTAAACCTTATCCGCATATTTTGGTGTATTATTATTGAGGAGAAATGATAAGGAAACATCTTGTAACATATCTTGTAACATATGAATAGCATATTTCCAATAAATGATTGATTTGTGGATAGTCAACAACATTCTTTAAAATAGTTAGCACTTTCAACCGAATAATTTTCTTATGACAATAGACAATATGAAAAAATATGTGGCTTTTTCGGAATGCCATGTTTGTTTTATTTCTTTGTCATTATATGAATAGAATTGAGTTTATTTTTTTGTCGAGTTCAGTCATGAATGTTGCTGTTGCCTAGGGAGTAAATTACCGATTGTTATTATAATATCTCTTTATATATTATTGTCAGACGAGAACAAGGAAATTTACATTAAAATGTATAAAAATTATTCTGCAAAAATAAAGGAGACAGTTCAATATAGACGATGAACAATCCTAAATTGATCTTTTACGTATAATGAAACATAATGCGGATGTGGATTAGTTTTTTTTTTTTTGTNCCCTTTTTCCTATTTTTGACAAACTGTACCACTTGTAAACATTTTTCTGAGTCAGAGCACAATAAGCGTACGCCACTGTCAACATTTCAAGTGTCTTTAAGCACATAATTCCATTTTTTACACAACTGTTGATCAATTTTTTTCGATAGTGGAAAATCGCTGAACAGGCAAAACAAATCAAATTTTTATGCCTCTCACCAACAATCTCGACATGCTAAAGAGCTGAAACTAGCAACATACCTTCGATACGAGTGTACTGATATGAAAAAATCAAAAAATCATAGCTAATAGAATGTACACAGCCCGCGAAACATTCACCTTATTTTCACACCCACTACTTTGTCGAAAGATTTTTGGCCATCATAAGTCCAGTGAATTCATTCGAACAAAACGGATCTAATACTGTATCTGGATGTAATGTATTTATTTGTGTAGTTCATGACAAATCAGGCATAGGAAATACGTCATTATCCGTAAAATCTGTTTCGCTACAGAAGAGCTCTTTGTGAGCATTTTGGAGGCAATTTCCTGGCAATTTATCTCGAAGGAGTGACAACAAAACGATATGTGGAGCTTGATAGGCTATAACCTTCTCTTAAAAATTTTTTCATCACACATACCAACGGTATTTCGACTCAATACTATCAGTATTGCATGTACAGGGTGTAACAAATATGTAGGTCATATTTCGAACCATATTTCTGGGGTCAAAAATAACTTTACAAGTAACTCACCCCAATATTAATGTGTATACAACAATAGTTACAGCCCTTGGAAAGTACAAAATGAAATATTTTTTTCAATACTCAATGAATTGTTTGACATTTTGTAATGAAAATGGATCTATGGCTTTCTTATCGTGAGAACATTGTTTTCTTATAAAACCACGAAACTGTTCAGGTCATACAAATTTTATGTGGGTATACGGAACCATAAAATCTGTTCAGCCCATAAAAAAATATACCCCCAAACTTTTCTATGCGCTACAATTGAATTAGTTGGTTTTCATCATTTTTTTTTACCACGTAGCTCACTTTCAAAAAGCCAGTTTTTATTGAAATGCGTCAAAAATGTTGAGTAACAAAAAGTAGTTTACATCTTTTAATATTATTGATAAAAATTCAAGAGATTCCATCTGAACATTATTCTTGCCTTAATGGTATTCACAGTAGTTAGTAAATCATTCTCAGGAATTGAAATATCAGTATCTTCAACACACATAATGATTTTCTGTATATCTAGACTCTAGAGCAAGAGTAAATCACGTCATTATAAAAATTGAGAAAAGAACCGGTCATAATATGGACCCTCGAGGTACACCATGTTCACAATGTTATCTGTAGATCTATTAGCGTTTATTAACGCTATTATAGAATAGAATAGAAACAGATTGTTCATATTAAAATTTTCTTTTCTGGCTCTTTCAAGGACTCGAAGCCCATATACTCGTTTGAAGATAATGGTGATTATGTGTTGGATGTTAAATGGTCTCCCACTCATCCCGCTCTGTTCGCTGCTGTCGATGGTAGCGGTAGATTGGATCTGTGGAACTTGAATCAAGATACGGAAGTACCAGCAGCTAGTATAAACGTTGAAGGCAATCCGGCCTTGAATAAAGTGTCTTGGACTCCTTCAGGTCTGCAAGTGACTGTAGGTGATAATCAAGGAAAAATTTGGGTTTATGACGTCGCAGAGGTATGTGTTATTAGTTAGTGAGCACAAAAAAAGCAACTTAATTTTAAAAGTTCTGATTTTTTGGAAAGAAAGGTTTTGGCTTTCTAATCAAGTAGTTTTCATAAAAGAGCTCTAAAACAATGCATTTTAAACTTATCATTTCAACCTTTTTCTTTAAAAAATTATTTAAATACTTAAAAAAGAGAAATACAATAATGCA